TAATTTTATACATTTCTTGTGAAAGAAACATTTCTTATTCAACGGCCATAAAAATTATTTATATTAATGATGTCTCCAAAGTTCAACGAAGTTTTCGCAGAAAAATAACTTATTAGAAATCGCGATCGCGGTTTGATGCGTTGCTCCGCGACGAAAACAAGCTTGAGCAATGGCGACGTCGAACGGTGCACACTCGGTAAGTAATCCTACAATTTTTTGTTTATAGCGTAGTTTATACGGATTATTCCCCCCAAAAATATACGTATTTTGGAAATGTTGAGTCGAATTAGTCTAGAATCGATAAATTTTATGGAAGAAAACCTTTCAAACAGCTGTAGTCCGTAAACTTCACACGTGTCGGGCAGTGATTGGCAAGGACTCGTAAGAAATCGATTCATAAAGAACGGAACGAATCTACCGTGTTATAGGGGGTCGACTGTACACCTCCAATATCCAATAGGGCTAAGTCATCTAGATTACTTGCGTTACTCCTACCCGAGTCCCCCTAGTCGCTAACTGTAACTGATTTAGAACCAGCATGCACTGCAAATTATTCTTCATTGCAAAATGACATACACCTGCATCAGAAACTTCTGTTCGAACAAACCGCACCCGCCGTCCGGGTCCGCGATTCTAAAAAGGTGACAACACTAGCACGAAATTATTCATTACTTATTAAGTGACGAAACTGAATTTTAGTCTTTTAAATTGAGATACCTAAATAAGGGGGCGGCGAAATTTTTCTCTGCCCCGGAGCGGCTGACACCCACGCTACGCCAGTTTTGAACTTATTATATCTCATAATAATTAGAATGGCCGGAAGAGGTGTTATTTGCGCTGTGTATGGCTGTTTTAATTACAAGATAGAAAGTGATCGCGATCGTTTTACAAACTCCCTAAAAACAAACGAGTGTAAGTAAATTAACAAGCAGTTTGATTGCTTTTATTTATATCAACGTTCCTCCTTTAAAATATTGTTATCATTCAACGTATGTGTTTATATCGATTTTCAGATGCATTCAGTGGGTTATTAAGTGCAGAAGGACCGATTTAGACGAGATTTTGAAAACAAATGGGCCAGAATATTTAAATAGAAATTATATCGCGTGTTTCCACCATTTTACAGGAAAAGATTTTAGAAACAAAAATCTCTTAAGCCGAGGGTATATAAATTGTTTATTATTTATTCGCTTAAAAATAAATTAATGGTGTTCTTTACCTATTTTTTTGTTCCTCTCACCGAATTAGAAGTTTACGATCTAATATTGAACTTATCGCTAATTGATTTTATTCAGTATCCTATCACTGCACTTGACTAAAAACTTGTTTTACATACGGTACAAGATCTGGCCCGGTGAAGTACCCTCACCATGGACGTAGCTAGAGTTTTGCTATGGGGGCCCAGTAGAGGCCAACCTGACACAAAATTGAATTATTTCAAATTATTGTTCATTAAAATAAAATTTTCATAGGAATCCACAATAACTTAATACATATGAAACTTAATCATATGTTCTCGTAACATTAATATCAAACTCTAGCAATGCCTTAAACAAAAATTAACCGAACAATTATTTTTTACCATTCTTTAATATAGTTCACCGTCTTTAATGTAGATATAGACCAGGGGCCAACAGTTTTTCCGTAGGGACTAAACTGTACTGTACATTGAGATTACAGATACACTTTGCACATCGGAGAAAGCTGTTGACTTTTTTTAGTATCGGACTTTCTCAATTTTCCTATAACTTCACACTGTCAGGTTGTAGAGAATCATCGCTGATCCATTCAAGCAATTATTTGAAGTTCAGTCCAATATTTAGAAATTAATTGAGGGCCGCGGTACACTACACCCAATTAATTTAAATTAGCTTCAACTTTTTATTTCTTTTTGGCAAATTGGCGCAACACTTTTTCGGCTGTGATTTTCTGGGGAGGGCACCAGGCTAACTGGGGGGCCGTGCCCACCCATGCCCCTTCCTGGCTACGCCCATGACCCTCACTATTAATTTATAATGCCAAACAGACCGCGATGAGAAGCAGCCCCCAAAAAAAGAAAGCTAGAAGAACCTTTCAATGTAGAAATGCCATATATTATGTTTTAATATACATGATATGTTTGTGTTCAACGTGTCTTAATTTAATGTAAAAATGTTTTATTTTAAAAAGTTGTTTCAATTTAATAAAATTGTATTAAAACCTCAGATTTTAATTTAAAAAATCTGATTCTTATTGCATTTGATTTGTCTTGTCGCTGTTATTCCTTCCTTTAAATCACTATCCATTCACTTTTCCTACTAAATAAAATCATAATTCATGTTTTAAGATGATAAAGACAAAAAGATGATAGAATATTTATTTTGTTGCATTTTTGCAAGTTTTGTAGCCCGTATTTCACCAACAGACGATTAGGCAAATCGCAGGATTAACAACTATCACTAAAACAGGATTACTGATTTTGCGTTCCATCATTCTAAGATTAGACGTAATCTGGCATTAGTAATTGACCGCGCATTCTTTTATTCAGCAGTGCGCCGAGCAGTTGCTGCCGACAGTTGGAAACACTTTTGCCGGAGAAAGAGCTATCTCAAAACGGCCGATATAAGCAATGATTTTCTTTCTGCTATATTTACACTTTATCCACTGTACCATTGTTCGGGTCGAGCTATGGGCCATTCGCAAGGCAATCCAACACATAGACAATCATCATACGTATTATAAGGGTAACGTTAACATCTTTACGGACAGTAAAGTGGCCCTTCACATTTTTAACTACCAAAAGAAATCATCTGTTCTAGCTGTTGAAGTGATAAAGGCTGCTCAAAACCTGGGAAGAAACTGTAACCTATAGTTTACTTGGATCCCAGCTCACAAGGGCCACGAAGGTAATGAATTGGCCGACAAGTTGGCCAAATCAGCCTGCACATTGTCTTCAAAACTCACCTACTAGAAGTTACCTGCAATTTCCCTGAAACATCACTTACAACACATAACTAATGATATGTGGCAGAAGGAGTGGGACTGCGCTGGTACAGGAAGGATGTGTCACAACTTTATACCTTCCCTCGCGCATCTTAAAAAAGCCAAATACTTCAGCTCAGATGCAGAGGTGACCCAGTGCCTTACAGGACACGGGAACTTCGCATCATACCTGCACCGTTTGGTAAGCAGATCGATAGCTCCTGCGATTGTGATGGACAGAGTGAAGACGATGCATTACATTTTCTCTTCAGCTGCAACAAATACAACCAACAACGTGCAGAACTCTTCCAAGAATGTCTCCAAACAGGACTCAACTGGCCCCCAATCCTGCAGACATTCTCGATAACAAAAAACTATGGACAAAAATGAAGAATTTCATACGCAATACAAAAAAACTCAGGCCCACGAATTCCAGTAGCCAGCGAGATGAGTGACACGGCCACATCCCACATCTGGACCAATAATAGACTGGCTGATATCATTTAAGGTAGGCCGGCTACTCGCCCAATTTGTTCAACCGGCGATTTGACTTTACTGGCATATGCAAATTAGACCCACTGGGTTTATATCTACTAGATTCTTCAATGTTATTAATGTTAAATTTTATAATGTTTTATCTATTTGTCAACCCAATTTACAGCATACTTTGTAATTGTTGAAACTTTGTATCTGTTCCCCCTTTGCTGTACACATTCACTCGCACGCGCAAACTTGTCATGTTTGTTTTTATACTGTTTACTGAACATATTTTGTCTTGTCACTGTATTTTACTCGTTCAACAATTCTGATGCAGACGCTCAATGATCCGACACTTCTCTTCAATCTTTCCCTATTTCCTTTCCCTCCCTACTTACTACCTCTAAGAAATTAGAAGTGTTGAAATTGAAATTAGAAGAGGTCACTTCCTCTTCTAATTTCTGTGTAAAGTCTGTGCATATACAGACAACCTCTACTCTTTTAATGTAATGTAATGCTATATTTACACGCGTTTGTTCAATATTATTAGAAGAAAAGCCATTAAGTTCGATGTTGTTTATAAGAAAACGAGAAAATGCTGATTTATTTATGGCATTGGCGACGACTGATTTCCAACAACGAAGAAAGCGTGCAAAAATCGTTGGTTACGTTTACGATATCGTACCGCAATATTTCAATGAAATCTTTAAAAGCCATTTTCTTACGTCACGATTAAAAATCTGCTCATTTAAAACAGGAAAAAACTGACTATTATTTAATAGTGGTAAAAGATTCTTTCTCGTGGAGGCGTCCATCTTGTAAGCACTATTTTTAGCATGGTCGAGAGGTGCTGCTAGTGCGCCGAATAAAAGAATGCGCGTTAATCCACCAAATTCGGGCGATTAATGTACTAATCTCGGCAAACATGGCGGAAGATTTGTCTTACTTTCAGAGTACGTGTATGAAAACGAAATAATAGAAAATTCCACGACGATCCAATCCTATTGAGAAGTTTGACGATCGACTGTTTATCGAAAAATACTGTATAGGCTATCTAAAAGAACTGTTGTACTGTACGTGTATATGACGCACCTCTCGCTATCATATAATACAAGAAGAAACCATCCTATATCACCTCTATTGCAGTTATTGATTACGTTTTTATACCCCTGGAAACTTTTATCACGAAGTGGGAGATCCGACTTCAACATCGAAATCAAGCGTATGCATAATAATTAAGTTAAAATAAAAATGACACGCAGGCCTAGTAGCGACGACGACGACTCTAGCGGCCATCTTCTAAACTACGATATCGACTGTACGCAATGTTGCCACGTCTACCGAATTTTCGGTAGATCTACCGATTTTGGGCCCGATCTACCGATCTACCGATTGAAGCACCAAATCTACCGAAAAGTTTACGATAATTCAAGAAAGAAATTTTTATTTTCAATGTATCTAAAAATTCTCAATAAAACATTTCTTTGTACCTTCATTTCTTATATATTCGTTTTGTTGAGAATATCTTGTGTCTGCCCCATTCTTCAGCTAATGGAATAGAAAGAACATTTTCGTAAATAAATCTGTTAAACACGAAACACGGAAATAAATTGACTTGTGAGCTCTGAAACAATCACTGGCTTACTTCTTACTAAACAATTAATTGGATAAAAATTACTGTTACGATTTTCCTGTAAAAGATAATTTAATTTCAAAAATAAGAAACAGTGTTAAAAACATACAAACGGAAGATATTGAATAATAATTATTATTAATATCCCAAAAATAAAAGGTAATATTGTATTTTGTTAGAAAAATAAGACAATATGTACTTACTTAATTAGTAAATTATTATTTTTTTACGTAAGTGTTTGGTGTTAGTTTTTTGTTTTTTTATTGTTTTATAGCGTATAATAAAATAAATGACGAAAAAGAATGTTATTGTTTATGTGCAACCTCCTTTCTGCCACAAAAAGTCGATTTACCGAAAAATTACCGAAATCTACCGATGGCAAGCAAATCGACGTGGCAACACTGACTGTACGTCGTTTCCGTAGCGAATAATCCATCGGGAAGACGGAGAAAATGATTGTTACGGGGAGGACGCTGAAGTTGAGCGGGGTAAGTCTTATCTCGGTTTCAAAATTCTCACGAAACTTTCGCCAGTGTCTAGTTATAAGCTTGTATTGACGTTCGACGAGACGAAATAATTGCCATGTCGACCGGTCGCAAAAAGCTTATCGTGGACCCTATAAATCTATGCCAGTGCAGTTTACGGGATTTTACCCGTAGCCTAATGTATTTACAAAACCTATGCTTATCGATACTTGCCTGAATTTATTTACACTTCGGTAATTACTTCGCTTTAAAAATTATTAATTTTATAAGTCAACAGATGGCGCGGCAAGTTTTATCTTAAATATGAAAGTGTATTTTATGTACTGTTCTGTACTGTACATAGGAGATAAAACTTCTGGCACTTGTACAGATTAACGGGTACGGCTATTTGAGAGGTTTACTTCCATAAAATTAACTAAATCTAGACTAATTTCACTCGAATATTTCCAAAACACGTATAATTTGTTGAAATGATCGATATAAAATATGCTATGAACAAAAAATTGTCGGAATACTTATCGAGTGTACCCGTTCGAAGACGCCATTGCTTAAGCTTGTTTTCGTCGCGGAACGGCACATTCTTCGTACGCGTCCGCTTCCAATGTGTCGGTGCTATTCGGTCACGTGACTACTCATCTCTGACGTGTTCCTGATAACTTATTCTTTTTGCGAAGAATTCACTGAACTTTAGAGACATCACTTGATAGATTACAATAAAAAATCTATAGTATATTATGATTAAAAACGACTTATTATTATTATTGACTATATGAAGCAGCAAAGGAAAAACCACTCGCTAACGACAACAATTCTATCATGATATATATTATAATGATGATAAATATTAATCAGATGCAACATAAGATGTCTAATGTCGATGTAAATAAATATTATACAATTTTGTTTACGACATGAGAGATTAGACCATTGAAAAGTAGAACAGAATTATTAGTTATTTATCGCATTATCATACGTTATTATATGTTGATTTTAATCCATATTTAGAATGGAATGAAGTTTTAATATTTCTGTTAATGATGTCTCTAAAGTTCAGTGAATTCTTCGCAAAAAGAATAAGTTATCAGGAACACGTCAGAGATGAGTAGTCACGTGACCGAATAGCACCGACACATTGGAAGCGGACGCGTACGAAGAATGTGCCGTTCCGCGACGAAAACAAGCTTAAGCAATGGCGTCTTCGAACGGGTACACTCGATAAGTATTCCGACAATTTTTTGTTCATAGCATATTTTATATCGATCATTTCAACAAATTATACGTGTTTTGGAAATATTCGAGTGAAATTAGTCTAGATTTAGTTAATTTTATGGAAGTAAACCTCTCAAATAGCCGTACCCGTTAATCTGTACAAGTGCCGAATTTTGTGGGTACGGCTGTTTGAAAGGTTTTCTTCCATAAAATTAATCGATTATAGACTAATTTGACTCGAATATTTCCAAAATACGTATAATGTTTTGGGAAGAACCCATATAAAATATGTTATGAACAAAAAATTGTCGGAATACTTATCGAGTGTACCCGTTCGAAGACGCCATTGCTTAAGCTTGTTTTCGTCGCGGAACGGCACATTCTTCGTACGCGTCCGCTTCCAATGTGTCGGTGCTATTCGGTCACGTGACTACTCATCTCTGACGTGTTCCTGATAACTTATTCTTTTTGCGAAGAATTCACTGAACTTTAGAGACATCATGAACAGAAATATTAAAACTTCATTCCATTCTAAATATGGATTAAAATCAACATATAATAACGTATGATAATGCGATAAATAACTAATAATTCTGTTCTACTTTTCAATGGTCTAATCTCTCATGTCGTAAACAAAATTGTATAATATTTATTTACATCGACATTAGACATCTTATGTTGCATCTGATTAATATTTATCATCATTATAATATATATCATGATAGAATTGTTGTCGTTAGCGAGTGGTTTTTCCTTTGCTGCTTCATATAGTCAATAATAATAATAAGTCGTTTTTAATCATAATATACTATAGATTTTTTATTGTAATCTATCACGTGATGTCTCTAAAGTTCAGTGAATTCTTCGCAAAAAGAATAAGTTATCAGGAACACGTCAGAGATGAGTAGTCACGTGACCGAATAGCACCGACACATTGGAAGCGGACGCGTACGAAGAATGTGCCGTTCCGCGACGAAAACAAGCTTAAGCAATGGCGTCTTCGAACGGGTACACTCGATAAGTATTCCGACAATTTTTTGTTCATAGCATATTTTATATCGATCATTTCAACAAATTATACGTGTTTTGGAAATATTCGAGTGAAATTAGTCTAGATTTAGTTAATTTTATGGAAGTAAACCTCTCAAATAGCCGTACCCGTTAATCTGTACAAGTGCCAAACTTCCAATGGCATTATATACAGTGACGCGATGTTAATATTTGGACAAATGTATAACAAATAAACAACGATCTTATTCCATCGGATTCGGTCGGGTACGATTTTTTATAACCGTAAGATTGAATTTATTTTGTTTATTTATGGATAAACTAGCTTACCCGTCGCGCATTGCTGCGATCTCAGAAGAGATGAAATTCAAGCAAACTCATTATAATAAAATTAAATTTTCATTTTATCATTTTTATTGAAATATATTGTTATTATTATTATTCATTTTCATCGGGAAAACATTTCAAAGTGTCGTTTCAATTCTATTTATTTATTGGAGTGCTGTGGATACACGATATTTTTTGTTTTTTCGTCTGGTGCGTACACAAATAAATCAGAAGGTTTTCCGACGCGTGAGCCGGCCACATACAGTTGTCCATGCGAGAAGCACGGATTCTCCAAATTTAACCCACACACTCGCAGCGATTGTCAGAAGTGCGATATTCCTCATTTTTATATATTTTTAAAAATCCTTTATAATTTTCATTATTTAATTGCTCCTTCCTCTCTTCTTTGGCGTGTTGTGAAATTTTTGATAGTTGGATAATAAACAGTTTTATTCTAATTTGTCTTTTTAAATTATTTTGAGTCGATATTAAAATTTGGAAAAGGGGGGATACCTAGATCGGTAAAATACGCGAATTTCTTCCTACAACTTCGGTCGTTGTTCGGGGTACAGTTAAGATTTTAACGAAGTTCGAGCGAATACATAATTAGCAAAAAAAGTCGAAATAAAGTGATTAAACAAAAATTATTACAAATATCGTAAATAACAGTTCACAAATGCATATATAGAGATATTTTTTGAAGGGGGAAATGGTCTTCACAATTTGAAATTGATCGAACACACTGTGCGCGAATGCTCGTGTAAACGCGCGCCATCTATCGTAGGATAAATGTATTCGCCGGAGTATATTAAACAACTTCCCAAAGTTTCATGGCAATCGGATAAACGGTGTGGTAATGCATGAAGGACATAGGACACACAGACAGACATGCATTCATTTTTATATATATAGACAAGTGCAAACATAAAGAATGAACGTGTGTTATAAATATGTATGCAATTTTAACTTTTACTGTATGACGACTTGTTTAAAAAAATGGAATTACGGTCGATTTCTATAACTTTTACCGCAATTTAACGTTCGGGCGAGTCGGAAAAATTAAAAATGCTTATTTTGGGAGTTATTTTTGACTTGTCCGAACGTTAGGCCAGGTGACCGAGAGCCGGAAAATAACGCGGTGGCGGGCGGGCGCCTTCCGTACTTATTCCGGCGGGTACTTTTGTTGGAAAAAATGGACGGTTTCCGTGGTTTTCGGAGATCTTTCTCGGGATGTCGTACGTTTACGTAAATCGAATGCGCTTAATTGAAAAATTTTAAATGCCGTCCTCGGAATCTCTAATCGACGTATTCTGACTCTGTCCGGTTGTGAGTTCCCAGACGAGGTTCGAACTCGAGTAAACCGTGAAATTCTTGCGCGACACGAGATGTAAACAACGAGACTCAGAACGGTTCGAGTATGTGTCAACTATCTGTTAATGTCTTAGCGGAAGACAAACTCTAACACGAGCGCTCATAAACAGGTAGATCTTTGACTCGCGTGTCTATAAAATGTTGGCCGAAATAAACCTTTTCAAACAAAAAAATAGAGGAATTTTTGATAGGTGAAAGGTGAAAATGATCGTTAAATTCTTAGACGTCAAAAATGGTAAATAACAGCCTGAGTTATGAGTGCAGGTGTTATTATTTTATAAACAGTCATCGAGCAGAGTCGACAAAGAGGTATCAGATGGACACCTCGAATCGGACCTTTCCCGCGACCCGAAAAAGTTTCGTCTTGCACCTGGAGACAAAGGAGAGACCAATCGAGAAGCAAGGAATGGGACGAGGGACCAATCCGAAATGCGAACAGTGGGGGAAAAACTATAAAAATCGGAACTTCAAGGACGAAAGAGAGTCTCCTCCGGATTAACCCTACAGTGGTGATTAAAATTGTGTTGTGCATCCGCCGCTCACCAAGGACACCGCAACGAAACAACGAACTTCTGCTTCGTCCGGATATCCTTCTCGTCCGCCCGAACTGCGACCGAGATCACGAACTTTCGCCGTTCCCAGGAGCACCGAAATTTTGGAATTATCCTATATCGATGTAAGCATGAATTCGAACAAATAAACAGGTTTTATTTTGTAAAACACTTGTGCATCATTTGCCTCCTTCGCCACCGCCTACATACGCGGTTTCCCTTAGGCTCATTCTGACGTGAGATAGACTTTTTCCCCCTCAACGTCGGCAAACCTTACACGGTTACCGCGTAAGAAAAGCTTAGAAGGGGCTCTTTAAACCCGTCGCCGGATCCGCTTTGAGTCAACGATGTTCTCGATTGGAATGCGTGGAAGGGTTTCGTGCAATTTAGAATGTTGTTGACCTCAGGCGGATGTGGCGCCGGATCGAAAACGTTTGTCAGATTTACGCTACGTTATTTACCGGATTGTCCGGGTTTTGATCGGTGTACTTATTTATTTGATTGTGTGTATTGTAAATAAACTTTTTGTGCTAACGGCTTGCGACCGGTGGTTATAAATAGTAATAAATACGATTGAATGCTAAAAAACGGCAAAGAAATGAATATATATATATAAAGACAAAACAAATGTTTTTTTTAATATATATATATATATGTTTTTTTAGATATGTAATTGGAGGTTATGTGCCGTGGCATTTTAGCAGAATGCTGCATTTTCTGTGAGATTCCTTTTTTGAATGATGTATTGTTCGGAATGTGTTTTCTGTACTTTTTGGTGTTTGTGGTCCGATCTTGAATGACGATCGTAAACCTCTCTCTCTTCAATTGCCTGGTATTTTGTGTGAGGTTTCGGAACGGATCAAAATAAAATTTAATTTTTACGTGTTAGAAGCGAAAATGCTATTGTCGAGTAGGATCGAGGGTGATGTTAGTTATGTAAGGGAGAGGAGAGAAAAAACAATTGTAACTGTCAAACAAATGCAACGCAAAAACAAATGACAACGGATCAGATGGGATGTCGGTCGGGAAAGGTAGAGCTTTGACTCGAGTGTTCGTAAACAATCGATCTAGGAAAACAGTTTTGGAAAAGAGAAAAGATCTAATATATAGCAAAACATTGCATATGATCGTTAAAGTTCCAAGATGACAGAAATCTCAAACAAAGAGCTAAATTATGAGCAAAGGGCTTATGGTTCTATCAACAATCTCCAGATATAGTTGACGAAAAGGTGTCGAATGGATGCCTTGAGTCTGACCTTTCTCGTGACTCGATCAGATCTCGGTTTTCACCTGGAAACAAAGGAGAGACTAATCGGGAGACGAGGAATGGGACGTGGGGCCAATCAGAAATATGGATAGTGGGAGAAAACTATAAAAATCAGTAATTCAAGATCAAAGACTGTATTCCTCTGGATTAAACTCAAAGTCGTGCTCGTTGAGTTCTGTTGTGTTGCCATTGACCAGATAGGACGTCGCAGTTCCTTCGCCGATCGTCCGCATCCATCCAATGATCCCTTCTCCTCTGCCCCGGAGATACAACCGATAGACCAAAACTCTTACCACTCCACAGGAACATTGAGATTTGGGAACTGTCTAATATTGATGTAAGCATAAATGCTACAAAATAAACGATCTTTTAACTTTGTAAGACGCTTGTCATCATTTGTCTTCTCCACCAAACCCACATGTGAACATCCCTTAGGTTCATCCTGATTTGAGATTATTGATTTCCCCTAAGGGTCGGCAAACTTACATTTGGTGCAGTTTCTTTCACGTAGTCTTGAGTTAGTTCGTGGGTGTGCCTACCGTGAAGTGACTTTTGGGCCTGTGACAGCTTAATGGTGTCACAGGCCAGTTATTGATGTGTTGAGCTATGTCTGGGTTCTGAGAGTGTAAGTTTAAAGGTGTGTGGTTACTGTCTGTCAGAGTTATAGCTTTATGTAATCTTGATGTTTCTTGTTTTTTGTGGAAAAACTCCCAATGTTGGAATTTGTTTGTAGTGCAAATTAACTGTATTAGTCTGGCCACAACCACCTTCTTTACCAGGAAGTGTTACTCTTTCTGTGGACAATTTCAGGTGAAACTGTTTATGCTTAGTAAGTGGTATTGTTTTCCTTTGATGTTACTCGAGATCTGTATATAACTCCAGAAGAATAAGTGAGTACGGGGACAACATATGCATTAATAGCTTTAATAGTATGTTTTGCATTTATGTGCATTCTTAGTACTGCATGTAATCTGTTTTGGTATTTGAGTGTTAACCTTTGTTTTATCTGTGCATGTTTTGTAAGTTTAGCCTGTTGGAAATCTAAATATTTGTAAAACTAGTCCTCTTCTGTGGATGCGATAATATCACTACTTTTGAGTACAAAGTCCCCTTTCTTCAGAACTTCTGTTTTCATTGTGGAGTGTTTTACATTTGCTAGACTGGGAGTCACGAAACTACAGCCCTCAGGCCAAATCTGGCCCACTGCCACACTATGCCACAAATGAGGTAAAATATAATTATTTATATGGAAATATTATAGACTATAAATAAACTTACTATGTAGAAAAAATTAAAATAAGTGTAAATAAAAATGCCAGAAGTAGTTCAATCTGATTTCTACATTTGATAGTAATATAATTTTTAGGAAAATTAGTGAAATAAAAAAGTCGGCAACTTTTTGCGACTTTGGATATCTAAGCACTTTTTGCCTAAGTATAGTACCTGCAATGAAGTTTCTAAAAAAAGTGATTACAAGCTTGCTGCAGTGATTATCTATATATATAAAAATGAATGTATGTCTGTGTGTCTGTCTGTCCTTCATGCATTACCACACTGTTTATCCGATTGCCATGAAACTTTGGGAAGTTTTTTTAATTTTTTAATACACTCCCGCAAAGTACATTTATCCTACGATAGATGGCGCGCGTTTACACGAGCATTCGCGCACAGTGTGTTCGATCAATTTCAAATTGTGAAGACCATTTCCCCCTTCAAAAAATATCTCTATATATGCATTTGTGAACTGTTATTTACGATATTTGTAATAATTTTTGTTTAATCACTTTATTTCGACTTTTTTTGCTAATTATGTTTTCGCTCGAACTTCGTTAAAATCTTAACTGTACCCCGAACAACGACCGAAGTTGTAGGAAGAAATTCGCCTATTTTACCGATCTAGGTATCGCCCTTTTTCAAATTTTAATATCGACTCGAAATAATTTAAAAAGACAAATTACAATAAAACGGTTTATTATCTAACTATCAGAAATTTCCCAACATGCCAAGGAAGAGAGGAAGGAGCAATTAAATAATTAAAATTATAAAGGATTTAAAAATATATATATAAATGGGGAATATCGCGCTTTTGACAATCGCTGCAAGTGTGTGGGCTAAATTTGGAGAATCCGTGCTTCTCGCATGGACAACTGTATGTGGCCAGCTCACGCGTCGGAAAACCTTCCGAATTATTCGTGTACGCACCAGACGAAAAAACAAAAAATATCGTGTATCCACGAGCACTCCAATAAATAAATAGAATTGAAACGACACTTTGAAATGTTTTCCCGATGAAAACGAATAATAATAATATATTTCAATAAAAATGATAAAATGAAAATTTAATTTTATTATAACGAGTTTGCTTGAATTTCATCTCTTCTGAGATCGCAGCAATGCGCGACGGGTAAGCTAGTANTTAATAAGTTGGTTAATATGTAGATACATTTCTGGAATCTGTATATTGCAAGGTAAGTGTCTTTTATTATAAAAATGAGAGAAAATGAATGATTAGAGCAGACTATTGGTACATATATACACAATTTAAATATGTTAATGTGATCAATACTAAGAATGTGCTTGGGCTGCATAATCAGATACTTACTAATAATTTTTTCTCACTTAACACATTTATTATTACTAAGTTTGATTGCTGTGCTTTTGATGAATGAATAATTAGTGAACTAGATTAGGATTAAAATTATGTTATCATATCATGGCACTAGCAAAATTACTACAATAACTGATGCTAATGTTATTGGTCATATTAAATTTTTCTTTCACAATTCTCTCCCATAGAGAATTGCAAAGGAAAAATCATCATGCAGTTTCTTTAAAGGAAAATAATAATCACATGTGAAAGTCCTTATCAAACAACCAAAATTAAAATTTAATTACAGTAATTTTTTTATAAATTCATTAACTTAGATTAACTTTAATTTAAAAAATTAAATAAATTTTTTACAGATTGCAAATGAAATTGCTAAAGTTAATGGAGTAAAGAAAGTATTAGTGGCAGAAAATAGTATATATGAAGGACTTCTTCCAGGTAAATAAAGTAAATGATTATTTATTATTGAATTCTGAATAAACTTGATTGATGTTTTATTAATAGCTTAATAAAACCATTATATATTGCTGGTCTTTTTGTACAATTGTGTCTGAAAGTCAGAATGATTTATATTAAAATATAAAGATTTTGTTAATACACAAAAATTTTGTTTCTGGGAATATCTAATGGATTAGAATTGTCTGAGTTTCTTAGATATTAAATTATTAGATGATAATGTATTAATGAAATTGTTAATAACACTGTTATGTTTCTTTGGTGTAAAAAAGGACAAAATGTGAAGACATTTTTAAGAAATTGTCTTTTGTAAATTTTTTGTGAATTTTTAAGTGTTAACAATAGATTATGGAATTACTGTGTGGTAATAGATACTCCTCTCTATTGACCAAATAAACAAGTTGAATAAAACATACTTTTTATTTACAGATGATTTAGTGGAATTTTACCTCCATGTTTATATTTTTAAAAGAAAAATCTGTATTATGATCTAAATAATGTGACTTGGATTAGATTATAATTTTTTCAAATATTCAATTTTTATAGAATTTATATTGAGATATACTTTATTGCATAGAGTTTTTTTAAAATTAGGATAAATACAAAGCTGTATGTAAATGATTATTGTATAAATGTTAATCTGTTGTTTGAAAAAATCGTAGACCTATAAATTCCCACTGTCACTTGTTTGTTGACTGTCTGTCATTCCTTAATTTTAAGAATGGTGTTATAGATAGATGAAAATCAAGACCAAATATGGAATGTTTAGGAGCAGGAGGCCCTGTTTAACTGTATATGAACTTCCAGTATGTACTGGAAGACATGTGATTTAGATTGAAAAATTTTCCTGGAACTGAGTTACATAGATGAATGGCAAGACACTAATAATTTGAGATTCAGATCATATATTTTAAATGAAATAAATTAAAAATATGATTAAATACTGTATCGCAGCATTGTGATGATGTCACAATAACTGTATTTTGTTTTTTTATGGTTTTAATATATTTCATTAAGGGTATTTTTTTCTTTGAGGTAGGCAGTTTTTGTCATCAATAATACTTTCTTTAAAATTTGTAAGAATAAAATAAAAATAAGTGTAAAATTAAAGATGTACTATATTTATAAAGTTAAACTTTAAAGATTTCTAAAAATGTCATTGTTATAATGTATGTATTGTTTCTCTTTTAGAACAGCTGACACCCTTAATTTTACAGATTCAAGGAAAACTGAATTTTACTCATATTTTAGCTGGGGCCAATGCTTTTGGAAAAGTGATTTGATTTTCTTTTTTCTTCTTTAGTATTAGTAATAAGAAATTTTATTCTATTTACACAATTGTTTTACAATATTGACTAATGAGTTTTTCTTTCTAAAGTTAAGTTTCTTTTAAATATCTTTTATTATTTGACAGAACATCCTACCACGGGTAGCAGCAAAATTAGACGTCTCTCCAATTTCAGATGTTATTGAAATTCGGGAGCCAGACCTTTTCGTTAGAACTATTTACGCAGGTAAACTTTAAATGATTATCTTGGTCACTTACTATTCTCTTTACTATATGTATTTTCTTAGCATAAGGTTGCCATTGAGAACAAATCACACAGGAATACTTTTAGTGGAAAAAGATCAGTTTATTGATAGGAAAGGATATGCATTTTGGGCTTAATACCCCACTTCAGTCCTGAGATTATAGTGACAGTTAGGATAACACGACTCATGAGAAGACGTAGGTGAGAAAAGGGGAGACTTATATACAGTATAACGTGTGCTGTAGGCTGAAAAATAATTCCAATGAAATGTACAAAGAACATAGACAGATAGGAGAAGTTGAAAAGATGTGAGTATTCCCTGTATCCCTGTCACTATAATCTCAGGACTGAAGAGGGGCATTAAGTCTGAAATGCATATCCTTTCCTATCAATAAACCGTCCTTTTTCCACTAAAAACATTCCTGTGTGATTTGTTCTCAACAGCAACCGTATGCTAAGAAAATACATTTAAATGATTATAGTAAATTTTTAAAAATGCTTTTAATGGACTTTAATATTAGATGAGAAATATTGTTTATAGGTAATGCCATTCAGACACTAAAAGCCAAAGACCCAGTAAAGGTCCTAACTATTCGGGCAACTTGTTTTGAAGCTTCAGAAATATCAAGTGGTGGTGGAACAGTAGAACCAGGTAAAGAAATATGGTCATTTAATGTAATAAGCATAAAATATTAAAAGTTTTATTTAACTGTTTTATTTAGATGCTTCAAATTTTATAATCAAAATCATAGTTTTCAGTTTAATAAAATTTTCAGCCAATAGTTAAAATTTAATTTAAATTACTAATAAATTCTTATTTTGTCTTAGCTTTTCCCATGTTTATATGGGATCAGTATTCCTATCTTTAATCTGTCTTCTCTGCTTCTTTCTTCTCCATCCTCTCTCTCTTAAATCCTCTTCATCTTGTGTCTCCATCTCAGCTTCGGTGTTCCCTGCTTCCTCCTCCCTATCAATTCCAACCTTTCAATTCTCTTTCCAACATAGTCCTCACTTCTCTCCACATATCCAAACCATTTCAATCTACTTTATTGTATGTTTTTACTTATAGGATCCACCTTGATAAGAGATGGCACCTAAAGTCTGCCTATAGTATCAAATTACTTAATTTCTAATTATTAATTATAGCATAAAATGGTCTGATTAATTATGGCAGTTGTTTTGTTTAATCCACCTTGACTGTTCCTTATATGTAATAATTTCTAATTCTGTCCTTTTTTTTTATCACAACATACATCCATCNTGAACAACTGTATGTGGCCGGCTCACGCGTCGGAAAACCTTCTGATTTATTTGTGTACGCACCAGACGAAAAAACAAAAAATATCGTGTATCCACAAGCACTCCAATAAATAAATAGAATTGAAACGACACTTTGAAATGTTTTCCCGATGAAAATGAATAATAATAATAACAATATAATAAGTTTCAATAAAAATGATAAAATGAAAATTTAATTTATCATAACGAGTTTGCTTGAATTTCCTTTCTTATGAGATCGCAGCAATGCGCGATGGGTAAGCTAGTGTTGTATATTGATAAATAAATATGTCAGTTGTCTTTATTTTTTGTGTATTCAGTGTACTGTATTGACCAAAATGGTTATGCGGCCCACTCTCGTCATTCCCTCAGTTATGTGGCCCACTGTGAAAAAAGTTTGGTGACCCCTGGTCTAGACCAAACTCCATTTGTATATCATTTGAGTACATTTGTAGTTTGTAAGAGATAATGAAGCTGTTTCTGCATGGATATGTAAAGTTTGATATCATTGATATACTTGAGGTGTCATAATGTGAACAGTGGTGTTTTGTTGTGTCTCATATTGTAACCTTATTGTGTTTTGTTTAATATGTTAGATAAAGGGTTAATTGGGCAGCAGAATCAAAGAGGACTCATGGAATCTCCTTGAAAAATTCCTTGCTTGATGTATATTTGATTTGTTTTTACGTGAGTGTTGTGGCGATTAAGATGTAATGTTTTTCTCCAGTGTAACTTGGTAAAACCAAGGAAACTAATGAGTTGGGATGAATTTTATAGATGCATAGTGTATGCAGCATCTAAGTTTTTGGATCACTGTCAAATGCTTTTCCATAATCAATATATGCCGTGTGAATGTTTTTGTGCTGCTTTACGTATGTACTAGCTGTAGGATAATAGAAATGTCTTGTGGATTGTTTATTGTGTAAAATGTTTGGCTTGTTCCTAATCACACATGCAGAGATACAAATTTTTCTTCTATGAAAAATTGTAAATGTTTTCCAATTGTGTGTTTTATGTACTGCATGTTGAATGTCATGTATGCATATTCTAATGTGGAATGATTACTGTCATAGAAGAAAGCATGCATGTTTTCTTCTTCTATGATACAGCTTGTTAAATTCTTTTGTGTGACTGGATTGAACGAAAGAGAAGACCAATAGTCTGTGAATTGTTTTTTGTTGGTTTGTCATTGTGCTGTGATCGTTTTGTAGTTGTCTCTAGAAAAGTGTTATATTGTTTGTGAATAATTTATTTGTTGTTTTGTATTGTTTCACTCTGCAGTTTAACTGTTGAGTTTTATTTGAGTGTGTCAATGTATTCCTATATGTGCACATTCATTAATTAATAAACATCAAACTTAAGAATGTAAAATGATTGGGAAATCTAGAATCAATCTTTCAAAAGAAACTTGAAAATTATCCATTTATATGTGGATATGCATGCTTTTATTGTGTACTACAAAATAAAGTTGTAATTCTATTTCAGATAAAGTTAATATTACAACATTACTCCTAACAAAATTAAGGCTAATTGCTTTTTACTTGAACTATCCCATTGTCATCTAGGGTCACCATCTTTGGAAATTGCTTCATTGACCAATTAGATGACCATGGAAGAGGGAGCTAAATGAGAAGATGCACTTCTTATTCATTTCTTGCAAATGCTTTAATTCCATCATTTTTTAACACTAAATGAGGTTTGGCAAGTGATGCAACAAGCTGTGAACAAATATCATCATCATGAGCTAAACAATTTTGGAATTTACTTGAGCCACAAATGTCTAGACCGACTCATCATAAAAAATAAATTTTTAAAACTCAAGATGGCAGTAAACTTAGCACAAACAAGTATTTTTAATTGGAATCACACAAATTGCATTTGAAAATTTAATGTATTACAGCATCATCTGTGAATCATAACAATAACTTTCATAATTATAATGAGAAAGCTGTTTTATCATTATAAGTAAATATATTACATAAAATTATTTTTAATATTTAGTATTTTCTCAGTTAAAATATAATTTTGTTTATATTTTAAACTGCTTTGCTGACTGCTGGCCTTGATTTGAAATTGCCAGTCAAGCCGACCTAATGCCAGCCAGATAGTAACCCTAATGTCACTCCATCTCCCCTGAAATGGGGACAGTTAGTACCGACCAAGTGCAATCTCTCATCACTGAGACACACGAAAGAAAAGTCTCCCACGACAGACATTGCCTCGTGTATGGGGTGTTATATACACTTTCTGCTTTGTCAACTTCATGTTGACGAAGTTGATAGTTTTCAATAAACTAATACTTCATTTGTTAATATTGTAATTTTAAAAATTCTGAAACAAATAATTCATTTTCTTATTAAATGTGGAAGAATCATTTTAAGAATCAGAAATTAATATAATGCAAATTCTAATTATTGGAAAATGTCCAGTTTTTCTGATTTCAATTAATTATCCCATCACTATAGTATACAGTGATATAGGTAAAGCCATGGATTTGTTTCCTTTCTGGCAATTTCTTACAGGGTTAAATGCCAGTGTAGATGATATACTACTGTAGGTTATATGCACAAAACTACTGGTATATTTATAACTAAGGTAATATTAAATATTAAAAATATAGAAAAAAACTTTTATTATAAGTAGTAATGAAAATATTTTACATCTTTCAGAGGATTTCTTATTTGTTTGGTCGTTTCAATTCTACACTAGTTATAGCAGAGTCTAATAATGAAAAATTAGTTCCCACCACTCTTAATGCAATAACTGCAGCAAAGAAAATATCAAATGAAGTAACATGTCTTGTTGTTGGAACCAAAGTTTCTTCAGTAAGTAAATAATTGAAAGTTTAAATACAGGGTGATAAAAAAAGTTTTGAGACAACTATTTACTTTCAGTTTACTTTGTGAACATAGCTTTTTAAATTTTAAATAGTTTTGTATTAATGAACATTCTTTTGAACACTAAATTGTTGATTATAATTTATTCTTGAATGCATTGACATAGTGTGGAAATCAATTTGCTTAATGCATGAAATTCACCATCTAGCATTGTTAAATTACTTCCTGAATTTGCTTCATATCTGGTTGTTGTCTATTAGTTTTTAATGGTCATCAACATTTGTTATAAGTAATAGACGTATTATACACAGAATAGGAAATATAGCCTGATTAGGAAATCATCAATGTTTATTGGTTTATAATTTAAACTAATTATAATTTCCTAATTGGGCTATATTTCCTATTCTGTGTATAATAAGTCTATTATTTACAACGGATGTTGATGGCTGTTAATAAAACTAAATTACTTCCAGTTTACAGCTGATACAAGGTGAAGGCCACATTCAAGGACTCCTGAGAAGTGGAAGACCATGAATTATTAGCATCATCAGAAATCATGTAAGATGAAATCCAACAGTGAATATTCAAAAAAATTGCTCTTCAGCTTGGTGTAAATCATGAATCCATCTAGAAAATAGGACGATATTGTTGATTGAACAATTGTACAATCATCAAAATGACAGAATTTGGAGTAAATACATTCAGATATTTCAAAATTTATCACAAACATACAACACTCAACAAGTGATGGTATTTGGTAGGGTGGAATGTATGCAGCAGACAAAAACTTTGCTAGTTTTTCAAGTCTCACTTTGACAACCAAAAATGGATATTCCAGCAAGACAGTATACTGGCTCTTAGGCAGGCAGAAATCCAGGTCTGGTTTGATAATCATGGAATTTACTTTATTCCATGGACAGAATGCCATCATATTCTGGACTTCAATCCTACAGCATGTGGTCAGTATTGGAGAGCAAAGTCTGTGTTACCTCACACCAAAACTTGGATTCCCTGAGGACTGCTCCAATCCTTGAATGAGACAAAATATCTGTCAAGAAGGTTTCACCACCTGTAAACAAGTATCTGTCTTTGTATCAAGGCATTGTGGAGGTTATTTTGAGTAACAGTTGTTAACATTGTTTCTTGTATTGTGTGTTGTAAGAATTTGTGGTTATACTTTTCTGTATTCAATGTCATATCTTTGAAAAGTATATATTTTAAGTTGTCTCAGAACTTTGTTGTCACCCTATTATTTAATTTGAATGTAGGTTAAAATATTAATTTTTAGTAGTTTTATAGATGAAATTATTCTTAATATAATAAAATATTTAATAAGTTGGTTAATATGTAGATACATTTCTGGAATCTGTATATTGCAAGGTAAGTGTCTTTTATTATAAAAATGAGAGAAAATGAATGATTAGAGCAGACTATTGGTACATATATACACAATTTAAATATGTTAATGTGATCAATACTAAGAATGTGCTTGGGCTGCATAATCAGATACTTACTAATAATTTTTTCTCACTTAACACATTTATTATTACTAAGTTTGATTGCTGTGCTTTTGATGAATGAATAATTAGTGAACTAGATTAGGATTAAAATTATGTTATCATATCATGGCACTAGCAAAATTACTACAATAACTGATGCTAATGTTATTGGTCATATTAAATTTTTCTTTCACAATTCTCTCCCATAGAGAATTGCAAAGGAAAAATCATCATGCAGTTTCTTTAAAGGAAAATAATAATCACATGTGAAAGTCCTTATCAAACAACCAAAATTAAAATTTAATTACAGTAATTTTTTTATAAATTCATTAACTTAGATTAACTTTAATTTAAAAAATTAAATAAATTTTTTACAGATTGCAAATGAAATTGCTAAAGTTAATGGAGTAAAGAAAGTATTAGTGGCAGAAAATAGTATATATGAAGGACTTCTTCCAGGTAAATAAAGTAAATGATTATTTATTATTGAATTCTGAATAAACTTGATTGATGTTTTATTAATAGCTTAATAAAACCATTATATATTGCTGGTCTTTTTGTACAATTTTGTCTGAAAGTCAGAATGATTTATATTAAAATATAAAGATTTTGTTAATACACAAAAATTTTGTTTCTGGGAATATCTAATGGATTAGAATTGTCTGAGTTTCTTAGATATTAAATTATTAGATGATAATGTATTAATGAAATTGTTAATAACACTGTTATGTTTCTTTGGTGTAAAAAAGGACAAAATGTGAAGACATTTTTAAGAAATTGTCTTTTGTAAATTTTTTGTGAATTTTTAAGTGTTAACAATAGATTATGGAATTACTGTGTGGTAATAGATACTCCTCTCTATTGACCAAATAAACAAGTTGAATAAAACATACTTTTTATTTACAGATGATTTAGTGGAATTTTACCTCCATGTTTATATTTTTAAAAGAAAAATCTGTATTATGATCTAAATAATGTGACTTGGATTAGATTATAATTTTTTCAAATATTCAATTTTTATAGAATTTATATTGAGATATACTTTATTGCATAGAGTTTTTTTAAAATTAGGATAAATACAAAGCTGTATGTAAATGATTATTGTATAAATGTTAATCTGTTGTTTGAAAAAATCGTAGACCTATAAATTCCCACTGTCACTTGTTTGTTGACTGTCTGTCATTCCTTAATTTTAAGAATGGTGTTATAGATAGATGAAAATCAAGACCAAATATGGAATGTTTAGGAGCAGGAGGCCCTGTTTAACTGTATATGAACTTCCAGTATGTACTGGAAGACATGTGATTTAGATTGAAAAATTTTCCTGGAACTGAGTTACATAGATGAATGGCAAGACACTAATAATTTGAGATTCAGATCATATATTTTAAATGAAATAAATTAAAAATATGATTAAATACTGTATCGCAGCATTGTGATGATGTCACAATAACTGTATTTTGTTTTTTTATGGTTTTAATATATTTCATTAAGGGTATTTTTTTCTTTGAGGTAGGCAGTTTTTGTCATCAATAATACTTTCTTTAAAATTTGTAAGAATAAAATAAAAATAAGTGTAAAATTAAAGATGTACTATATTTATAAAGTTAAACTTTAAAGATTTCTAAAAATGTCATTGTTATAATGTATGTATTGTTTCTCTTTTAGAACAGCTGACACCCTTAATTTTACAGATTCAAGGAAAACTGAATTTTACTCATATTTTAGCTGGGGCCAATGCTTTTGGAAAAGTGATTTGATTTTCTTTTTTCTTCTTTAGTATTAGTAATAAGAAATTTTATTCTATTTACACAATTGTTTTACAATATTGACTAATGAGTTTTTCTTTCTAAAGTTAAGTTTCTTTTAAATATCTTTTATTATTTGACAGAACATCCTACCACGGGTAGCAGCAAAATTAGACGTCTCTCCAATTTCAGATGTTATTGAAATTCGGGAGCCAGACCTTTTCGTTAGAACTATTTACGCAGGTAAACTTTAAATGATTATCTTGGTCACTTACTATTCTCTTTACTATATGTATTTTCTTAGCATAAGGTTGCCATTGAGAACAAATCACACAGGAATACTTTTAGTGGAAAAAGATCAGTTTATTGATAGGAAAGGATATGCATTTTGGGCTTAATACCCCACTTCAGTCCTGAGATTATAGTGACAGTTAGGATAACACGACTCATGAGAAGACGTAGGTGAGAAAAGGGGAGACTTATATACAGTATAACGTGTGCTGTAGGCTGAAAAATAATTCCAATGAAATGTACAAAGAACATAGACAGATAGGAGAAGTTGAAAAGATGTGAGTATTCCCTGTATCCCTGTCACTATAATCTCAGGACTGAAGAGGGGCATTAAGTCTGAAATGCATATCCTTTCCTATCAATAAACCGTCCTTTTTCCACTAAAAACATTCCTGTGTGATTTGTTCTCAACAGCAACCGTATGCTAAGAAAATACATTTAAATGATTATAGTAAATTTTTAAAAATGCTTTTAATGGACTTTAATATTAGATGAGAAATATTGTTTATAGGTAATGCCATTCAGACACTAAAAGCCAAAGACCCAGTAAAGGTCCTAACTATTCGGGCAACTTGTTTTGAAGCTTCAGAAATATCAAGTGGTGGTGGAACAGTAGAACCAGGTAAAGAAATATGGTCATTTAATGTAATAAGCATAAAATATTAAAAGTTTTATTTAACTGTTTTATTTAGATGCTTCAAATTTTATAATCAAAATCATAGTTTTCAGTTTAATAAAATTTTCAGCCAATAGTTAAAATTTAATTTAAATTACTAATAAATTCTTATTTTGTCTTAGCTTTTCCCATGTTTATATGGGATCAGTATTCCTATCTTTAATCTGTCTTCTCTGCTTCTTTCTTCTCCATCCTCTCTCTCTTAAATCCTCTTCATCTTGTGTCTCCATCTCAGCTTCGGTGTTCCCTGCTTCCTCCTCCCTATCAATTCCAACCTTTCAATTCTCTTTCCAACATAGTCCTCACTTCTCTCCACATATCCAAACCATTTCAATCTACTTTATTGTATGTTTTTACTTATAGGATCCACCTTGATAAGAGATGGCACCTAAAGTCTGCCTATAGTATCAAATTACTTAATTTCTAATTATTAATTATAGCATAAAATGGTCTGATTAATTATGGCAGTTGTTTTGTTTAATCCACCTTGACTGTTCCTTATATGTAATAATTTCTAATTCTGTCCTTTTTTTTTATCACAACATACATCCATCTCTGCTGTCTTCATCTTCTTTTCTTGAGCTCTTGTAATTGACCATGTCTCAGCACTGTACATCATCACAGGTCTTACCACGGTTTTGTATAACCTTCCTTTTAATTTGCAGCTTATTTTCTTATTGCACAGCACCCTACTTGTCTTTCTCCAGTTCAGCCATTCACTTTAAACTCTATGCTGGATTTTCTGCACTCATTCCTCCATCACTTACTACATATGATCCAAGATACTTAAATTTGGAAACTATTATTAACTTTTCACCTTGGAATTGTATATAACTATTATCCCCTTCACCAGATGCCATGTATACTGTTTTGTTCTGCTAATTTCTATTCCTCTCTTTCAGCACTTTTCTCCATTTTCTTTTTTTTTTCTCCATTCCTCCAACTGTTTCTCTACCTTATCTTGGAATTTTTACACAACACAATGTTACATACATACATACATGCATACATACATGCATGAAAGACATTGGCCATACACAAGGTGTTTAGCTGGCGGGAAAGGAGGGCGAGGAGATACACAGTAGAGAAAGTAGGATCTCTCTGAATGGCATATGTATGGCTACTGTACCCTCTATGTTTGATGTTGGCTTGCAGTTTTTAGGTTGCAAGGCTGTAATCCCCCGAAGGGTCTAAAAGAAAACCTGAGTTTAGCAAACACCAATAATTGAGTGCTGCCACGAATAGCTAAGTGTAGAAGTTAGTGCCAAGTGGCTGTTAGTAGGAAGACTTATATCTACTTAATACTAATAAAACTGAATGCGAGCACGAACCTTAATACTATTAACAACTAGACAGACAGTGTGAAAACAAACGAACACAACAACAAACTAGAAAAGACAAATGAGCAAGACCCCAATTTAATTTATTTTTATTTTTTATTTTAGTTTATTTTATTTATTTATTTTTTAAAACGTTAACTTACTCACTAACTAAACTAACCTACCATAACCTAGGACAAACCTAACCAGATGACTAAAGCTAACAACCCTAATCTAATTTAACCTAACCTATCATAATTTAACTGGAAACCAAGCTAAGAGTCCCTAATCTAACTTAAAACTGTCATATGCAAACAGCATAATCCATGGTAATATGATTTTCACATCATCCACCAATACATCTGTCAACAAATCAAACAGAAACAGGCTAAGGGCTGAGCCCTGGTGTAGTCCAACTCTCACTGTGAATCTCTGTCATATCTACACTAAATACAAATAAAACGAAAATTCCAAATGTTTTCGGCCTTCACTAAAGATTGCCTCAGAATTTTTGTTGAAGTTCTGTTACTGGATAAAAGGTTTTGTTTGTATTTAATTAATTACTTCAGTAATTTGTGAAGAACATAGTTACACAATCTACACTACTCTTTACTTGAGTCATTGCTCCTTTATATGTTTCTTTTACAAGTCTTACATACTTTTCTGGTATTCCTTTTATCCTCATGCATCTCAATTCTCCTGTTTAGGAACTTTGTTGTATGCTTTCTCCAGTACTATGCAGTTCTGCCTGCATTTCTCTGTATCTTTCCATCAGCTGCTTTAGAGCAAGATTGCATCTGTTGTTCCTCTTCCCAGCATGAAACCAAACTGTTCCTCACCTATAGCTGTCTTTTATTTTCTGAACCTTCATTCCACTGTTTTCTCCAAGATTTCACTGAGTGCAACATCAGTAATTTCCACATTCCTGCATATCTCTTTTTCCTTTGTAAATTGGCACTAAAATATTTTTCCTCCACTTACCTGGTATTGTCTCTTGCCACCACAGCTTTTTCATAATATCCCATCAATATCAACACCCTCTTTGCTCAAACATCTCCATACCTCAGCTGGAATCTGATCACCTGTTGCTTTTCTATTCTTCATTTTTCTGTGCTCTTTTCCACCTCTTTTTTTTAACCCTTTGTGCCCTGTGGGCACTAAGAGGGCCTCTTTTAGCAGGCCCATTATGGGTTTGACCAGGCCCACAGTGGGGCAACTGGGTGGTGAGGGACAGGGCCAAACATATCTGAACAGACCACCCCCGAAAAATTTCTGGGGATTCCTTGACCCGTCTGGATTCAGATCCTGGGTCACCCAGAGCAGTAGGCTACTACCTTGGCCGCTTGGCCATTCGGCCAAATCTTTTCCACCTCTTTTTGCTTACCAGAAAGAGGTGGAAAAGATTTTATCTGCTGCCACTCCTTCATTTATCTCCCCATACTCACAATAGTTCCCTGGGATTTTTTCCATTCATTACCTTCCTAAAATAATTCTTCCATCTTTCCTTTATCTTCTATTAGTCTTGTAACATTTTACCATTCTCTTCTTTTATCTGTTTTAACTGATATGAAATTCTTTGATGCCTTGTCCTCACTTTTGCAATTCTTATCAGCTGCCTATCCCATCTTTTATTTCCAGTTCCTCATAGGCTTTTTTCTTTTGCTATTGCTGTAGCCCTTTGTCTTTTTGTATGCTACTTTAAATGTTTCTTTATATTCCCTGTTACCTGACATTTCCTATTGTTTTTCATTTCTTTGGTTTATTACACCTTGCATCTCATTTCTCCACCAAGCTTCTTTACCACAGGGTGGCTCTTTTCCTGATGTTTTCAGCAATATGACTATATGACTTTAATATGACTATAATTACTCTCTTATAATATGATTATAAAACTTCCATCATTCCTGCAAATCTTCCAGTAACTTTATTTTTCCAAGCACTTCCAAGACACCCAATCAACTACTACCAATCTGTGTTGTGCAGCTACACTTTCTTTGTTAATCAGCTTGCAATTCCTCATTTCCTTAAGATATTTCCTTCAATACATAAAGTAGTCAATCTGGCTTATTCTATCCCTACTCTTGTATGTTATAAATTGATTCTCTGTTTTGAAGTAAGTGTTGACTATTGCTAGGTCAAACACCACTGTGTATTCTACTATTCTATCTCCCTTTCTATTTTTCTTGTTAATACTCCATCCACCATGCACTTATTTATATCTTTCTACATGTCCATTTAAATTACTCCCAATGTTCAACTTCTCACTATGGTATTTTTATTACCATTTTATCTAATTCTGCCTAGAAGTTAATCTTTTCTTCTTCCCTGCATCCTGTTTGGGGTGCATATGTGAATACTATTGTGACAAAACTTTCTCCTATCTCCAGCTTAACACTGATAATTCTGTCATACTTCTGATTACCTCACAAATACCATTTTTTAACTCCTTGTCGACTATAATACCTACTCCATTCGTCCCTTTTTCATCTGCTTCTCCAGAGAACAGTTTATAGCCACCCCCTGCTCCCTTACTTTACCTCCTTTCCCCTAGTTTCCTGCAGGCAAAAGATCCTCTGTCTTCTCATTTCATTTCATCAAGGCCACTAACTCTCTGCTCTTTCTAGTCATTGTCCCAACATTTAATGTTCCCACTCTAACATTAAACACCCTCCTCTTTTTCTTTTGTTGGACTAACTTCTTTAGCCAAATCTGTCTTTGGTTTGGTAGCCCAAGCTCATTTCTTGCAGTTTTTGGATAACGTGACTGAATGCTGTTTGCAGGGTATGCCTAAACTCTTGTATATTCTCTTTCCATTATTCCATTTGATTTTGACATAGAACTTTTATGGATGCCTTTTCTGACACCGATCCTCACTATTTATTGGGCTTGGAACCAACTGGCTTGCCTCTTTGGTGGTCGTTCTGTGCAAAAATGGGGAGAGTTGATTCACAGGTCAACTTTCCCCAAACCAGGTGGTTCAAATCTCCTGCCCAGTATCTTCCCAACTTTGATGAAGTGTTTCAAAAATAGTGAAAATAATTGGATAAAAGTATTTTGACTGCCTAAAACTATGATAATGTATGGTGCAGTTAACATATTAAGTTTATACAAACCTTGATATATAAAAGGATAACAATGAAATAATCAAAAACTTGTTCTGTCACTCATTCAAAGCAGACTGTGGATCATCATATTGTCACATGATATATTAGCAGCTAATGAACCATGTGCTTTGGATTGATAACTACCGCCTGAAATTAAAATGAAGTATTTGAACCATTTCAACTTTCCCAGATGCACTCTACTGTTATAGAATTAAGCTTCCAGTAATTTACACAACTCAATGATACACTCTCAACATTTTGTTGATTTGCTTTTTTATTTATGCTTGCTTTATCAATGAGTAATGATTCAATAGTAATCTATTGCTGAACAACATTTATTAGTCTCAGTTTTGAACTGAAAAGAGCAAAATAATCATTTAAGATCTTCCTCAGAGTTAGGTTATGCAGACCCCACTAACAAGAGATAGGTAAAAACCTATCTCTTGTTAGTGAGGTCTGCAGAACTTTCCAGTTTGTCACTTTCTGAGTATTTCATTATCAACAACCTCTCTCAGAATCACAGAAGGATAATCAACACACGAGAACCTTATTATATCCCAGTAACAATTAACACAAAGGATGCTGCTAATGTTTCTTACGCATGGAGGTAGTGCTATGAGAAAAGAGGGCACCATTAGATGCATATTTCATATATATTTTTTTTCACTTAGATTGTTTGAAATTAAATAAAATCTGTATTTAAGTGGCAAGGGTTAGCCAGATCTTTTATTACCCCACTCATTTGTAAATTGTAACGTTGTTTACTTGACATGCTCCAACCATTGTACAGGATTTGCTAGGTTGACCAAATTTAACAGAGGTCTTTGTTACTAGATATGCAATTCTGGGCATTTATTTTTAATTTTCTTCCCTAACCATCAATTTATGGCTGCAAATTCAACTCCAGTATTGAATCAAGTGTAACTAAAACATTATTAACAAAAAGAGAAATTAATGGTAGCTTGACCTTATTTATCATGAATAAATATGTATTATGTTAGAGAATATGAATAAGTGTTATATTAATTCTGTAAATTTATGTTTAAAATAAAACTGTTTATAAGGCTATGGCAAAGAATATAAAATATAAATCATATTAAATTTTTAAAAGTTGTTATAAATAAGAAATTAATTATTACATAAGAATAAGTTTAAAATTGTGTACTGTAAATATTGCAGCTCCTGTTAGTCAGGTAGAGAACCAGAAATCTCAGTATAATGGTCAACAGCTGACAGAGAGTGAAAGACCTGAATTGACTAGTGCCCGAAGAGTTATTTCTGGAGGTGAGTCAGAAAAGAGGATAAAAAAACATTGAAGAAAAATAAAAAAAATATGCTAGCTGTTGTTTCACTAATTTTTAGGAAGGGGAATGAAGAGTGGAGAGAATTTTCAACTTCTTTATCGTCTAGCCGATAAACTGAAGGCTGCCGTTGGTGCTTCTCGAGCTGCAGTAGATGCTGGTTTTGTCCCTAATGACATGCAAGTTGGACAGACAGGAAAGATAGTGGCTCCGGTTAGTGTTTTATTTTTTTTTTTTTTTATATTAATTGTCAAACTAAACTGTTAAAGCTCTTAATACTACTACAGGAATTATACATAGCAGTAGGAATATCTGGTGCCATTCAGCACTTGGCAGGAATGAAAGACTCCAAGACCATAGTAGCCATCAACAAAGATCCTGAGGCTCCCATCTTTCAGGTTGCTGATTTAGGATTAGTTCAAGATTTATTTAAAGCTGTACCTGAGATGACAGAGAAGATTGATTCCTATCTGACTGAATAAGTAAGTGATATGTAATTACAATACAGTCAACCCCCTATAACACTGTTGATAATTCCGTTTTATATGAATTCCATGCTGTATGAGTCACTTAGATTTTACAAATACGTGAGCCATTCCCTAGCCTGGCACACGTATTTGTAAAATCTAAGTGACTCGTACAACATGGAATTCATATAAAACGGAATTATCAACAGTGTTATAGGGGGGTCGACTGTAGATTATACATAATATAAAGGAGTGTCATTAATTAAATTATATTAGATTATAAAATTATCTCTGCAACATAAAGTGTGTTTTGATAATCTAATTATTCACTGAGTGTGTTCTGTTAAATGTCATTAATTAAGTTTCAAAATGAGAATGAAATGGAACTAAATTGATTATTGGTATAAAAAAACAACCTTTATTTCTCAATATAATTCCCATCCACATTTAGACACTTGTCCCATCTTTTTAAGAGTCCCTGAAAGTCAGAAGCATAGAATTCTTTTGGCTGCTGTCAGAGCTAAGTAGTGACTTCTCTCTTTACGGTGTCATCATTGGGAAAATGTTTGCCTGAAAGATGTTTAGGGAGGCCAAACAAATGGAAATTGCTAGGAGCAAGGTCAGGACTATAGGGGGAATGCTCCAAGACTTTCCATTTCGTTTCTCTCAGAGTCTGTAGTCCATATGGCGGCCTGAGATGCATGTTGTCTTGCAACATCAACATGCTTTTTGTGAGGAGTTCTAGTTGCTTTTGTGAAATGGCAGCACAAAATTTTGCTAAGTCCATTTGTAACTTACTCGATCACTCTTTTTCATAATATATGAAGATAAAAAAGTAAAGTAAATTCATTAATTATTTGTTATACATCATTTTGATAAATGATACCTGTATTATTTCCCAATATAATCCCTCCCTTTCCAAAATACAGTGAGAAGGCTTCATTTGCATTTGATCTCATCTGTGGAGAATGTTTTTGATTGTGATCAAAGCCATATGTGCACCATCATTAGTAAATCTTTTTCTATGCAAGACTTCTTTTAGTGGTCCAAACATATGGCATCTGACAAAGCAAGACTTGAGACTGTATGAGGATATGGAATAACTTTAGATTTTGGTCACTTTATTATTTCAGTGGCAGATATGGCAAAATACAAATGCAGTATCAATTTTTTGCCAGTCAAAGTTATTGTGGATGATCTGTAACAAAAGCCCACATATAATGCAATGTCACTCAAGTAATTCATTTGTTTTCTTTAATTAATGCATCATTAATTTCTGTGACATTGGAGGTCTGATTGTTCTTTTTCATAAAGAGTTGTTCTCCCACATTTAAACTCTTCACTCATTTGAGTACATTTTTCTGTGCCATACAGAATTTGCCATATTGTGCCAATATTTTCCGATAAATTTTTATCTGCCTTAATGCTTTCCAATTACAAAACCAGATTGTGACTTGTCTTTCTATAACAGTGAAACTTGACAGGAAGTTACCATCTTTAAAACAGATTTATGAACAAAGATGGTACTAACTAATTCAAATTAGTTGCCGACCTGGAGGGTCGGTGCCCTGTCAGGAATGACACCACCGGGTCCCAATTGACCTGGAAGCCATGACGACAGTTAGATTAGAAAGTAGGTCACATAAACAGATTTGGGATGGAACCGTGAGGTAGCCAGTGGGAAGGGACACATGCAGAGACTAGGTTACTTAACAATCATTTATTATTAAAAGAAATTTTATATTATTATGTACATTTTATGCATGTATTGTTAACGAATTCGAATCAGGAAAAAATGCATCTAAATATGCTCGGGGTTGCGAGCATATTTAGATGCATTTTTCCTGATTCGAACTCGTTAACAATACATGTGAGAGAGTTCACATGAGGTGCGTGTGGCGATAAATACCTTTTGTAGAGGATGTTCCCAGAGTGATGATCTTGGATTAGGGTTTTGTGTGATTAGGTTGTGACAGTCTCGTTTAGGATCATTGGTAAGGTTTCTGAATCTCTGATAGTTCATCTGTAAAGGTGCAATGGTAGGCGGTGTCCAAGGGCGAGTAGGTGAGATATCCAGTCGGGTAGGATTGAGCACTGACACAAGTAAAAGTTGGAGAAATTTTGTGATGACTTTACTCCTGGGGGAACAGGCGACGATTGACTCTCCGGCTGACAACTTTGATATCAGTCCGAAATCGCCCAGCTAAGAGGTCAGCAGATCACGGGAATGCATTGCTTTCGTTGTCGGGAAAGTGTAAGTGGAGATTTTCTCAGGTAACTGAAGACAACAATTGTTGAGCAAGTATGGCATCATCGATGATTAATTTTTGTTAAAGTTCGGATTATCACACAAATAATTCATTGCAAACTTGCCCAGTGTATATGTATTGAAGTAGCCACTATATTTCACATTGTACTGACTGCGTAGACTCTATGGTCAAGCTTTACTTTTTGATTCATCTTTGTATGATATTTAAAATGGAGTGTTTTACCATAATTAAATTAGATTTATTAATGGTTTCTATCCACTATCAATTTAATGTACATACATAGAACAATATATATCAATAATACCTGTATATGAATTTTAAATTATTCTTATCTTTAATCAGTTATATATAAATCCTTGATTTGGAATGCCCTAGAGCAGTGTTTCTCAATGGGGGCGATATCTCTCCCGTGTGGGCATTTTTTCATGTTGAGGGGGCGATTAGTAACAATTTATATTTTGGGGGCAAAAAAACAATTTTCTGGGTGATATAGTAAAACATTATATTAAGAATAATTAGATATTTTATTTGTTATATCAAACAATTATTAAAGAAATAACATTATATTAGTCACTAGTCTATTCGATGCAGTATGAATTTGGCATAAGCCTTGGCCCTCGGCATTGGAATTTTGAAGTGAAGGGGCCGATACTACATAACGGTTTTATTGAAGGGGGTGACAATTCGTTAGAGGTTGAGAAACACTGCCCTAGAGTCTAGACTCTAGACCAGGGGTGTCCAACCTTTTTGTTTCTCTGGGCCACATTGCAAGATGTCATGAAGTTTTGGTCCACAAGTATATTATATATACACTAGTAGCCTGGGATGCCCCCTAGTGGGCATTCTTTACAAATTTCCATGAGGCACGGTTCCTTTGACTTTTTTGTTCCTATCAATATGCTCTACAGCTCTGTTAAAGTCTGAATGGTAAGATTTCCCCTCCGAATGAAGAAGTGGTGACCCCCCCAAACCGTAGACCCCTGTACTAACAATAAAGTCAAAGGAACCGTACCCCTACTCGCGACCCATCGAGAGACATAAGCTCCTGAAATAATAAATTTCTATTACAAATATACTGAATTATTTATATTGTTATATTGACCAAATAATAATTTATTGGCCACATGAATAATAAAAATTTATATTGTTAATTTAAATAAGAATTAAAATTGTTAATTTAAATGTTTGAAATATGATACACGATAGGGGCGCCTCTAGTGTCCGTTATCAAACGGTTACGGGACAGAC